GATACAAGAAAGGAAGCATCTAAGAACTAGTTCATGTAGGAAGAGCAGGCTCAAACGAATAATTTTAGGACCTGCTAGATTGAGAGCTGACCTCTCGGTGGACGTCAGATTGACCCAACCTTGTCGCCTCTTTCACCAATTCCTTAAACGTGTACACCAACGAAGCCATTCCCAGCGGGTGGTATGTACAAAGTACTTGTACCCTCCCGCCTCTTTTCTCGCTTCCATCAAACACACTACCTTCACCATTCGCCGCCTGACACGAAGCAGGGATCAGGCAGTTTTCCAAACGTCGAAACACATTCGAGGACTTCGTATGGGCAAAGTGTCCGAGCGTCTGTAGTCCTATCTTGCATATTCAAAGAACGACAGGATGCATCTGCTGTCAGTAAGCTGTTTAAAGTTCATATTTGTCAGACATCGCTTAGATCTCAACAGAGCAGACATTTATTGATCGGATTAAGCGGACTCTTCTCCCTTGAGAATGCAAACTGCCGCCTTGGAATCAGGCTAAATCTGAAATGTAAAGAGAAAGCGAGGACTTTTTACAGCTGATAGGCTCAGCATGCTTGATGTCAACCATATTCCAAATCAACCGCATGTACCTAGCATGTACCTAGCATGTACCTGGGCTAGTGACCGACCAGCATCTACGTTTCTCACACCAAACATCAATCTCAATTCTAAAAAGTCGCAGAATAAACACTCAATTGGCTGCGTAAAAGAATGCCTTGATCATGAAAGAATGCCTTGATCCTGAAACCACAGAGTGCCGTTCTTAGGATTAGCCAAACGTTCGCAACATTGACAAATAGAGAAAGACATGGGGCCCTCAAATCCCTCAGGGGACTTGGATTTCGACGGATTGCAAATCAACAATTTGTACGTCCTTACTTACGCCAACAACAAGAAGACTGAATCCATCACCCTCACGTGAAATGAGCGAAATGCGAGCTACGTAGTTCCCGAGTTGCAGCAGCGCATAAACCGACTGGCGGACTAAGCGAAATCCTTCGCTCGAGAACCAGACTCCGTGAAAAGTGCAGGATCCACATGAGGGAGAAAAGGCTTCCAGAAGGTCCGGGAACCAGGTGTGGCACTCCTTCTCCAGCCGAAAAGCCTTACCCGGTAGCCTTATACCCTTCGGCTTCTCCTACCTGCTTCCCCGCTGGTTGTCAACCACTCAATCAATTATGCGATTGGAACCGGCCCCCGGACAACCATCCCTATCCAGCTCCCAAGGATTTTGATTTCTCGGATCTCGCCCGGACCCCGTTTCGTGCAGTAGTGTAGTCTGCATTAGCCTGGCATAGATGGACGCAACCTGGACCTTGCATCTTTTTCATCATGCGTCAGAAGACGTCAAGGGGTATTCGGTATGGCATAAGGCTGAAGTCAAGCTTGACGCTAAAATCTTACCTATAGACTTACATAAATACATACATACATTCAGCGGCATTCCGACTCGCTCGCTTGGGAGGAAAAAGGGTCCCCTAAGGTGAAAGAAGCGAAAGAAGCGACGAGAGAAGCCGGCCTCGCGAAGCGGCCTATAACTAAGAGCATATCTCGGCAGTCGCAGAGAACAACGAACTATGTATAGAAATAATACACAACTACTTAGGCGGGCTATAATCGTCGATTGGAAGGCGGATGTGGTTCCGTTTGAAATGTACCTTTCGCATTTTGTTTTTCAGCTGAAAGTGGCCAATACCAGTGAATCTGAGCAAGCAGGGCCAAGGAACTCCCGCTTCGATTCACCTTTCGTTTGACGTCAAGATCAAGAGCCCTTCACCAATAGAACCAAACCTCCCTGCCGTCCTTGGCCTTTATACTCGCCCGACTATTCTGTCAAAAGTCGAATTGGATTGCTAGTACGGATGTCTGACCCGTATTGTATGTGACTGCAACGCATACCAGCGCGGAAGGAAACGGTCCGTTGTGCAGAAACTGGAACGAACGAGTGATAGAAAAAGATCCTTACTAGCGGATCGACCGTGTCGAAACGGCCCAGAAGCTACTAAACGCCCTCGAGTAGGACACATTCTGAGCTTCTGATGAGTCAATCTTATCCAATCAATCCTATAGCAAACGCTCCGCATATACAATATAAGTCACACTACAGTTCCCAAGCATCGCTATGAGATCTCCAAGAGATGTCAACAAGTAAACTCTATGGTCCGCCTCCGGCCTGTTCCATCAGGCGGTAACGGGGGCTGTTTCGAAGGGCGCCTCATCAACCGAACTGACATCAGAGATTGTCCAATAAAAAATTTCAAATTGAGTCTTGCAAATGTGGACATGGCGATATCATTCCCGTGGTCGCTGCTCAATTCATAACTCTAGAACTTGCAGACCGATCTCTTATGCAAGCCTCGAAGTCGAAATGCTGGTCCATGCAGAATTAGGACATAATACCCAATGAATGGTCGAAACTTCTCAGCACCACGCTCTGGAGGCGGTCGAGAATTGGTCTTAATGGATGAAAGAGAAGCCATATTTCGAAAGTGCGCAGGAGAAGTGGAAACTCAGAGATTAAGACGAAACGACAATGCTAAACCTGGCCAAAGCTCTGCCCAGGCTGCCGAGTAATTCGCCCGCCAACCAAACAGCCTCGCTACCACAGCTACTACGGCCAGCGACCACTACTTGCAGATCTAGTAGTCGATCTCGGTCCTGTTGCTATTCATAGGCTTCCATCCTTCGATATCAGCGACTCATTTGGGCAGTCACCACCGACGTGTTGCGCCATCAAGTCCGGGGTTAAATGCAACTCGAAATCTCGAGACCAAAATTACTTGGAATGGGTGATGTGCCAACCAGATCCAATGTTGCCATCGTGGAATTGCAGGGCGCCTGAGCTGAACAGTCTTCGAGATTATAATAAATGAAGATTGATCCAAGCTACATCGTGCGAGGCTAAACATACATCCCAGTTCATCCCCAGGGCCTCGGTTTGCAGAAGAAATCATGGATGGCCAAGGAGATTCTAGTCACTTGCCCCAGGAACCTCTGTCTTAGAGGCTCCTCAGGTACCAGCAGGCTTCAATGCTCACAATCAGCACAGTCAAGACTCGATCTATTCCAGCACAAGGACATCGAAATGCTACATCGAAAAAAACAAATCCACGATGCGAAATCTCATCTTTATCTTCCATTCGTCTATACTAACTCCAGACTCCTTCCTGCCTTACTCCCTCATTTTACTACTTCCCACTTCCCCCAATCTTCTTCTCAACCCCATCGAGCCACTTCTTCATCTCAACCTCAGACCCAGCAATCTTTTGCCCCAAAGCAATCTGTTCATGTCTCTCCACGGCACACCGCCACCCATCCAATTGCGTTCTCGACCGACTCCCAAGTCTGGCAATCGATGCAGCTGTCAGCTGATGCTGAGGTCTCTCGACCTCCTTTCTGAAGAGGGGAACATGTAAGCAGAGGCGACGAGGATGTTCGAGAAGGAAGAAGACGGACGGCATAGCTAGACGGACACCTAGCCAGATAACAGCAAGACAAGATGCCCAGAAGCTTCGCGTAGAAGAAGAGTCCTGTGCTTGGCGTCCGACTGTCTGGACCTTCAGATATGCATGTCAGCATTAGCCTGAAGAGGAATAGAAGTCATTCACAATACAGAGAACAGCAGGGGCACTCGGTGGGCAGAATGTGGATATAAGACCAAGGCTGCCCTGACTCACAAATCACCTTTTCTGCGAGGCTCGATGAAAGCTAGATCCACGATAGTAACCAGAATATCCGGCTAATCACCTCTGTCGCTACTCTGACTCGCTTATTGCTCGTCTCATAAGAAAAAGCCATTCCACGCAGGTAGCGTACAATGTACTTATACCCCTCTACCGTCCCACCCCCCACTCATTTCCCACCTGACCATCAATGCGGATGTCACAGGCATCGTCCTCCTAACCCTCAGTCCTCACTGTTTTGGAAATCTAAAAAAAAAAGGGTTTAAGATTGTAAAAAATTGTCTGGTTTTCCCATTTCGCGCTCGCTTAATTCCTCCCCCCTCCTCCGGGCCCCTCCATTCAAGGATCAACATCACGTACCTGCGTTAGCAGCACAATAAAAATGCCGCTTATGTCGATCCTTGCCAGCTATGCTACAATGTCATTCTCAACCCCCCCCCAAATAAGCAAACCCTCATCCTCACACTCCCAAAATAATACACACCCAAACAACCAACCAATCTAGCAATGACCCTTCCCCCCACCCCTTCCCCCCACCCCTCCCCCCACACCCGGAACCTTCCCAAGACCATCCAACCCGGTAGTCCTACCGGCCACCTTACCGGCCGCAAGCCCGCAGCCCATCCCACCCTGCCTCCCCCCCCCCTTTCCCAAATTAATCCCCCGCCAAACAAAAACACGACACGATCAGAACAGCCGCCCACGCCCTCAACAAAACCAAAACCATTCTCGGTTCTCGTGCCACGTGAAAAATTCCCGCATTAGCGGTTTCCGGTACACCGATCGCGTCCTCCAATAGTCCGGGTGGTATTTTTTTGGCGTCCTGCAATGTCTAGCGCAGGACGAGTGTGTGTTTCCAGGACGGGAGTCCTGTCGGGATATTTTTTCGTTTCCCTCTGACAGATTAGCGTAGCATAGGGGGCTAAAGGTAAGGTCGCAGGCTTGCTGACTCATTTGTACGGATGCTGAGTTGCTTGTAAGGGTCTTCGTGACCGGAGACACAAAGCGAGGAATACTTCAAAAAAGTTTGGGACTTGTTTAGTCGAGACGCATTAACGAGAATGAACTCGGTTGATCTATTACATGGGGTAGCGTAGGTGAAAAACTTGTATTAGAGGTCTCTGACCGTTGTAACTATCGAAGTATGATGCGTCCCAGCTCCTAAAAGAGTCGTCCAGCGTGCGATAAATTGAGAAATCACGGGGAAATGAGAGGAATCACAGAGCAACTCCAATCGACAGATCAGGGTTTCCATGGTCTAGCAGCTCGACGCTGTCTCGGTTGAGCCGGGGCTCTGGAAATCTACCCAGCAGAATAGCCACCCCTCCTGATCCTAGCGCCCTGTCGTCTCAACCTTGTACCCGTATCCCCTTGGTGTAACGTCCTTATGTGCTTGCCCAGGTTATCCGAACGGCTTAGATTAGCACCGCATCCAGGCATTGTACATAGAAGCCCCACCGCGTTGCCGTGATCGCGCGACGTACGCATGTGACGACGTAGATTGGAGGTACGGTCGCGCGCAGAGCCAGTAAAGAGCGCGGGGCAGAGGGGGCAGTGTGTGACTTCGGTGCGTGGCAAGGAAGGAGACGGAGCCGAGAAGGACGACTCGGGCGATGTGGTTGAGCTAGGTTGACTTGCGGGTGAGTATCCAGTGGTGAAGGTTGGAGATGCAACGGTGGATGGTGATGAGCCGATGAGCGTGTGATTCTCGATGGAAGATGGCGTTGGGACGCTCTCAGCCCACGTCTGCTTGATGCCAGGCATAGCGTTGACATTGGTGTCGCGTCGATGGTGAGGTACGATATGTTCAAGCCGCTGACAATTGTCCATCTCCACGACTGAAGCCAAGACCGTGTCTAAATCTGTAGCATAACATCGATCGCGCCAATTTGGGCCTGCTTCATGCATGATGTGGTCACAGATAGAAGCAATAGTGTCAAGGTAACTCTTATAGATCTGTGTGGATAGGCAAAACGGCTAGATTTCATCATTGATTAGCAAAAGTCTCGACGAGGTGATTGTATGAGTGTTGCCGACCTTGCCATTTGAAATCAGCGAGACCTCAACCTCGCGAACACTGCGTAGCGATCCATTACTGAGCTCCATAGCAGTATATTTGATAGTATCGTGAAGCGCTTCGATACCGTCGCAATGTTGAAGTGAATGGATTATTGTCTTCAACATCTCTTCAATATTAGTGAGATGATTCTGAGCGTACCAAGGCAGATGGGTGGGATATTTTCTGCTCCTTTCCAAGATACCGGCATACTCAACTCCTACAAAGTTAAGTCAGATCAGGATGTGATGAACAAGTGTTGATAAGTTGGCTTACCATCAAGGAACCTTGAGCACTCTTGAAGGACTACCCCATCTTTGAGAGAATTCAAGGTTGACATCGAAGCTGGCTTCGTCGGCCGTCGTGGTGGTTGCATATCATCGGTGCCTAATCGCTCGAGGCCAACAACAGGCCTTCGCAATGGCACAAGCGTTCCACTCGTCTCATCGAGAAAATAGTTGCCACAGGATGATACTGCTGATGAACCCTGAGGCCACCATAGTAAGTTCACGAGCTGAATGAAGAGTCGCGCGTCGCTCTCATTCAGCATCAGGCTTTGCCAGCTGAGGACATCCTGAAAGAACTCGTTCCAGCAATGCGAGCCATCCTCTCCGTGCGCGAGGTACGCGGCCCCGCAAGCGACGTGCGCCAGGGCAAAAACAGCGTCGAAGGTCCGTGGGAGGACACCCTGGAAGACGAGCTGTAAGGTTTGAGCTCCTGTGTCGAATAGGGATCGTGGGGACAACTTTGAAGCGCGCAGTACAATATCTGGGGTTGATTGGCATCTCCGCATCCACTCCTCGTTCAAGACACGCACCATCTCACGAAGTTCCTTGACCTGCAAGTGCGTTGACAACGTTACACCGTCACAGAGGGTGCCATAATTTTCAGACGACGGCAGAGACTTGTTATGGGCCGGTGTGACATTACCCTGGGACGAGTCGTGTTCAACGAACTCAAATGACGGTACTGTGTTGGAGTCACTGTACGTTGGATTGACCGAACCGAACTCGGCAAGTAGCGATGTATCAAGTCCGGTACTCTGGTAATTGAATGAACCCGGGATGATTGAGACAGGGGACACAAGCATCTCCTCCCATGGCTCAACATCATGTCGGGCGGCGTCGAATTGAGCACCAATACCTGTCAAAGGGTTGGCAGGGTTTGCGGCTGCACCTCTAAAACGCGGTTCTCCGGCTAGAAGGTGAACATCCAACTCGCAAGGTTGGACGGCTGTACCTGCCTCCTGCGTATATCGTGGTAGGTAATCCATGTCCTGGGAAGTATGAAGCGTGGTGCCATCCATCTCGTATACAAGTTCGGCTTTCTTTTCGGAATACGATGCACGACCATGGGCATGGCTGCTGCTGTCTGCAAGCTCAGCGCGCGTTGAAGTCACGTAAGATGTATCTTCCATCTCGGATCGCCGTCGTTTGGCCAGCCACGAATCGAAAGAGTTCGTTTCGTATGCCGAGGACGATTTATAAATCTTGTGCCGGGAGTAGCTTTTGAGGCCTAGGTGCTTGAAGAACGTCACGGCACGCTTCAGCTTGGAGTCTTTCCTTTGAACCTTGGGTTGCATAGAATCTGCGCAAGTTTCCTCGGGTGCCACAAAGCTTTCGGGGTGGCAACAGTATGGGCACCAATACCATGCGTTCGAAAGCCAAGGACACTCTGAAACGTGTTGTAAGGTAGAAGCCAAATTTTCGAAGTTTTCACGACACCAGAGTAATGGGCACCTCAGGTGCTCCTTTGCCGTGACGTCTGACGGGTGACCACAATCACCGCCACGTATATATGCCACCCAATGCTGAAAAGCCATTTGACGTTCGCCTTGCGAGAGAGCATGGCTGGCTACTCTTGGGTTCATTTGGCGAAGGTAATGCTGCAGTCTATTGTTGCAGTGTTAGCGGACGTTGTTCGTCTTGACAGATACTTTACTCACGCGCAAGGTACTCTTTGAGTATAATTAAGGGCCGTGTGTGCAGACATGATGCACTGCGGTGATAGAACGGATGGAGTGGGAGCCAGCTGATTGTAAAATTGGACTACTCTGTAGCCGTGCAGTAAAGGAGTATGTCATTTAGATAGCGACGAGCCTGCGTGCTGGAGACAGAGTGGCAGAAGGACGGCGATCAAGAGAGCGATCCCATTGTTGAGCCTCAGTCTGCAAGCGGCATGCGCTGCTGGAGGACTTTGTGAGATTCAGTAGATTGGGGAGCTCGACTGATTGTCGTCCTGCCGAGATTCAAGTTCCTCGTATTGACATGCAGGAAGAGAGATCCGGGAGGACTCTGTTAACCTAGCTAATTCAAGTCATCGCTTCGATTGGCAAATGAGAGGGCGCCATCCGGAAAAGAAACTGGAGGGTCTGACTCCAGAAGGTCTAGCCGGAGGACTCGTGCCAAACGGCCCTGCATGGCCGGATCCCATTCTGTAGATACCGGCGGATAAAAGCAAGCTTACTCCAGGACAGGAAGAAAGGTAAGCGACTAGTGATTCACCAGAAAGTCCTTCTTGACCCTCACTACCAGCACTGGGTTGTGTTTCCATCCAGGATTGATGTATTTGGGTACCTTCATGCACTTTGAGCGGCAAGAAGCAACGACCATTCAATAGGAGCGCCAATCGTTCAGGCATCAGATGAGGCTACCGAGCTAACGGCAGGCGTTTCGGTGTGTTGTCACCGGTGGCGGTCGAGTCCTGTGTCGGGACAAGGAAACACGAACGTCCTTGGCATCCTACCCTCTTTCTCATCCGACAACATTGCGTGTATGATTAGAGATTGAATCAATTGTGCGTATGGTTCGAGTCACAGGGTAGTATTGTACTAGATTGAGGACGCGTTTAAAGTGATTGACGAGGTCCAAAGGAGCAATCCTAAGCAATAAAATTGTTAGAATGCGACTCTGAGTGCCTATGCAGGCCTGGCCTTACGAATAAGCTTGCTGCAGCGTTCCAATAATATCTTCGTCATCCACCGAGAAGCCTGCCAAGAGATTTCTTTCGCGCAGGGTGCGTCACACTGAAGGGTTTTGAGCCGGCAAAGCTTCCCTAAAGATCTGATGGTGTTGAAAACATAGTGGGGGCCTGCCTCGGGACGAGAGGCACGGACTGAGCGAGAAATAGTTTGCTGAAGACATCCTGAGAAAATCTTCTTTCAGATGGTGAATGAGAACAGAGGTCCATTTAAAAAGGGGTCGAGGGAGCCGACTATACATATAGCACAAAGCAATTAACATAGCCACCTTCTGAATGATGCACTCATCTTAATAGCCCATATACACAGCCCTCAACCGCAAGGCTGTGCAATCTCCAGAGGTCGGAAAGATAGGCGTGGGGTCCCCAGCCTGCACGTCGAGCCAATGAAAGCGGGTTGCGCAAGCACCACATAAACCGGGCGTCAAAGATCGACAGGGAAGTGCAGGGCCGAGACGTTCGAAAGATTAGCTTATGCATGAGATCTGCCGTATCTCTCTGCATAAGCGAATCCCACCTCGTGATGCAGTAATTTCAGCGCCATGGACATATCACCTACCTAGCTACAGATTGAACACATGACGACCGATATCGTACAGGCCAGAACGTGCCCAAGCAAAATTACAACGAGTCCAAATTAATGTTCCGGACATATTCTTCGCATTGAAAAAACAACGATGGTGGAGACGATAGCGAAAACTGTACATAATGCAGGTAATACTCGCTCTTTCCCGTTTCATCTTATCCTGCATGCTCACTGCATATTGGCTTTTCCGAATCGAGCAGGTGCGCTGCGAGGCCAAGAGCGCAATTCTCCGTAGATGCTAGACTAAGTAGGTAGTCTCTGCAGAGGAGAGAACTCTCCAGTAATGTTAACAAACGAGCAGGTCCTGTAGTGTTTCTGGTAGCCCATGATCGAATATAAGCAACAGCCGTCGTCGGATATGCACAATGTTGTATGGAACATCGAGTTTCCGCGCCAGTGTCAGACTTAGCGTGTTCATAAATGTGGAGTGCTTGGCATTTAGCGTATTCAAAAACATCTGGAATGCTTGGCACCGGAGATCTTTCACACCACACACCCAAATTCGTACTGTAGCATAGAAATCTCTTCGCAAAATCATTCAAATCAAGTAGCCATATCGCAAATAGTCGCATTTAATTAATTTTGAAGCTATGTAACTTTAGCTGTATCTCCTAAACGTATTAATAACGCAGTAGCCACCGAACCGCCGCCGTCGCAGTAAGAACTACCCCCCTTATAACTACTGAAATAGCCTCTGCTTAAGAAGCTCAGAAATAGAATTATAAAGGGATGAGTGGTAGTAGCAGTCCCTACGGGGGCCCTACGAAGGCCTCGCGGGCCAAGTATTTAGGTTTAAATAGGGGTGTCTGACTGTCGGGACCAGGCTTTTTTAGCTGAGTTGCTAACACTGAGGAACATACCAAGACTTCAGTATAGCTTCATCTTTTCATATGGGACCTATACTAACGATAGCAGTGTTATTGAATAATTTTGCGGAGAGATTTCTATGCTACAGTACGAATCTGGGTGTGTGGTGTGAAAGATCTCCGGTGCCAAGCATTCCAGATGTTTTTGAATACGCTAAATTGCGACTTGCTGCCTCCGCCCCTCCTTCCACACAGCTGATAGCCACGATAACATTTCTCCAATCGATCTGCTCCATGAGAGAAACTCACAAGTCTAGCACCGGTTTCAGCCATGGACTTTCGCTTGCCATAGCAAAGATTCTCACAAGTTCACATTATCCATTTATTGAGTTCGAGATGCTGTTCCTGATAACTACGACATGATATCGTAACAGAATCAGACATAGCTAGCTTTACAGTCGATTCTTGATTACCCAGCAACGTTGGAATCGTGAAATCTATCTAAGTAACAACAACGTTCAGATAATACAAGTGGGGTGTGGAGCAAGTCCGCGACGCCCATCATTTGCTACATTTATGAACACGCTAAATCACCATCTTGGCAAAGATCTTGGCAATTCAGAGCCGCAAATTCAAAGCCAAGGCATTATTGCGACGCCCTATACTCCTACGCTCCTTACGATCTGATGCATATACGTTTTTAGATCTCGTGTATCATAGATGCATGAGCTTCACGTGTTGAACTTTGATCTGATGGACAATGCGTATGAAATTCCAATACCAGCCGTTGAACCCCCTAAAGCCCACGTTTAGTAGCCAGTCCAACCGTCCAGCGCAGCGTTGTCGAATGAAATCCTGCAACTATTTCTTGGAGGCGCCCGATGATGTTGCTATCCAGCATTTCAATGCCAGGCACGTGTTGTTCGATGTACAAGGAAGAATGGATATGGCGATTAGCGAGGTCTTCAACAATGATGGCGTGCCCAAAATCTAACAGAGGTTAGCAGATCAGTAAATTCCATTACTGCAAGATTGAGAGACTGACTATCAAGAAATTCGGTGCATCCCTTGATTATCATGTTTGATTGAAGTGTTCCGGGCAACCCAATCTGTTCAATGTCGGTCGTGGAATGTATTCGACTTTTATCACCCTCTTCTTGAATATTCACGTCTACACCCGTAGATGACAGATGGCGAACTAGACGAACAAGCGTCGCCTGCTCAGCAGGCAGGAGGACGTCGTCGATGAAAAGACCTTGGAACGATGACGATGTTGTAGATCCATGCGGGTCACACAGCCGACTCATGACTTTAACGAAAGCCCCTTTTTCGATCACGTCAGAGAGAAGGTGCTGCCATTGAAACGCTTCATATAGAAAGGTATCCCACGAATATGCGTGATCATCTATACGGGCGATGTACGAAGAAGCCACCGCCACATGCATCAGCGCAAAGATGTCTTCAAAGCTGCTCGGAGTCGCGCCGCGAAAGTAATTACGCAAAACTCTGATGCCCAGCTCGAATAGAGCACCTGCATCTTGCTCTGGAGACAGCTGTGGGATATTGGTGCTCAAGGCGAGTCTTTGGATCCATTCCTTACTCATAGCACGTATCACATCGCAAAGAGCCGAAATTTGTGCATGGCTTTTGGGTCGTCCTTCATTGCGTGGAGACTCGGCAGGGTTGTAGAATGGCGACGGGGATACAGTTGTGCCTTGTGTACGGCTACCAGGAGGTTGATGCCCATCAAAAGAGCTTCGAGCATAAGTTGAAATGAGTGGGTGCAAAGCTGGCGTCTTAAATTGCGATGAATCCACCGAAGGTGCACGAGAGTCATTAAACGACGGAGGTAACCCCTGAACAATGGAGGAATGGGGAATGACGGTCTGGTCATTGGAACCGATCACATCATTCGAGCTATCGCTGTTTCTGGACTGCACACTGAAAGCTGTGAAAGAGCGACTCTTAAATAGCGTTTATATTTTAGATATCCTTAGATATTCTATCAAGTCCGACTTAAAAAGATTTAAAGAGATCTAAGATTTAGAGATTTAAATTTGAGGGTAAGAAAAAAGTGTAGAAAAAACTGTGTACCTTTGATATAGGATAGATGTATATGTGATTGTCTCAGCGCCAAAAATTCCAACGTTTTGTGCACACGCTAATAGTCATACAATCCGTTTCATTCTGCCTTATATCACGCGTGGTCATCAAAATCAAGTGGCCTTTATCGACCATGAGTGCTTCGCAGCCTTGCGAACAACTCGCCGAGGGGTTTTTTTGAATGTCCTTACAACAGGCTGAGTTCTAAGCCTAATGCTTCCATCCGTCCGAAGCACACCCTATACCCTAGTCACTGCTGGAAAACCCTTGCGACGTCATCTATAACTCCTTATCCAAGTGTGGCATTTGATTGAAAGATCAGTCTTATTGAGCACCTCAGCTCTATTGTACTTGGCAAGTACTACAAGTAGCAGTACTCCTCTATAGAAAAACAACGAGCCGTCATCAATATTTCAACACTTATCCTTGGGAAACACCCCCGATAAGCTGAATCAGAAAGCAGGCGCAGCGGGTTCTTGCTACGAATCGCTGTCACTTCTCTTATAGAGCAATGGGTGTAGTCTCAACGATATGTTGCGCATGAAGATGCTGCCAGCATTGGGTCGAACACAACACAAACCGGTTGCAACCATGTCTATCGTGAAACTTACTTGTGATTCATGAGCCTTCAAAGTTCCAAGCTACTGCCCCAATTCGTGGCTGCGAGGCCCCCGAAGCCGGGAGCCGCCATCGGAGGGCAATTCGAGCCAAAGAAACGCAACGCGTCTAATCGAGCCATGCCCTTCGCTTCCCTTCCAACTCCCCGGAAGCGGGCGTGACACGATTATTGGGTGGCCTCAGCAAATCGCACGGGAACGGAGATGGGGTCTGGTTTTCCAAAGGTAGCTGATCCCATTTTTAAGCCTCCATATTATACACCCATCTTCAACGACCGACTGTGATCCGCCCAGGAACGTAACTTATTCCCCTCACTCGTGGCCTGCGCAACGAATGGATACCTGATCGCCAAGACAAGCGTTACTAATACATACAAAAAGTGACGTTTCAAAAACCTCCGACTTCTCACTACTTGTACGCCTTACCCAGCTCACATACCCAGCTATCCTCCTGATCCCGTTTTAGCTATCCGAAAACCATTGCCGCCCCGTTTTCCAACCGTATTCCATCGAACTCATCGAATCGGATTGTAAAAGTTGAACTTGCCCTTAGGATCGTACTCGCTCTTCAGCTTCCTCAACCTCTCCAATCTCCACGGTTCGTACCCGTACAGCATCTCCGGCGTCTCATCACTCGACGCATAATTGACGTAGGTATTCAGCGTGCGTCCAGGTTCGCCGGCGTGGAAAGTGGTTCGAGCCTGGTGGCCGTAGTCGCTTGCTACGGCCGCGAGGCTAGGTTCGCTGGGAGACCAGATGGGGCCGTAGGAACTTTTGATTATGCGTTAGAGTGAGATTTGCACGACGGTAGGAAATGGGGGACAACATACACAAGCAAACTATCGCCGCGATGCGCGTAGGCCGTGCTGTCCGGGTCAACAGCTCTGATCCCTTGCTGCGCGTATCCCTCAAATTGAACGATGGAGGTGTTCAAACCCGGGTTCTCATTGACCATAGTTTTGTACAGATTGTATATGGCCCGGTTGGTGCTGATGTTATAAGTTTGTAACCCGACAGGGTACAACTGCGCGCTGACTCCCGGCAGACAAGTCGCATCCGTAACGCCAGCGCCAGCGGCGTGCGCTGCACCGGTGTAAGGTACAGTCTCATTTGTTGCTGAGAGGGGTTTCAGCGCGAAAAATGGGGCTAGTATGGGTGCTGCCTCGACGGCTGAAGCACCGAACTGGAGGACAAAGATGACCACTGGCTATGTGCGTGGGCCAAAGTCAGCTTGCTGATGGTTTTTCAGAAGCCTTTGGCTCGGAGTACACACCTCAGTAGCGCTTATCTCAGGATTCAGGGTGTAAAGAGTATAAGTCACTGCCTCCTTTGGCTGAGTGCCATTCGCACCAAAAGTATTCAGTGCTTCGAAAACTGCTTCCAGCTTATCGTTCGTAAAAGTCATGGTTGAAAAAAACCAATCTGGATGCGGGATGTCATAAATCTTGTAGCTGAAGCGAGTGACGATGCCGAAGTTATGCCCAGCGCCTCGCATGCCCCAGAAGAGATCTGAATGAGAGGATTCGGAGACGGTGATTATTGAGCCGTTGGCCAAGACAACGTCCAGCTCTATAATACTGTCCAAGACTAAACCATAATACCCTGAGAAACGACCAAATCCGCCACCGAGACCAGGGCCCATGACGCCGGTGCAAGCACACGCCCCAGAAGCTTGGCATTTGATTAGCAGATGCTACCAATAGATTGAACGGTGGGGTTTACGAACATGCAGCTTTGCCGCGATCAAAAAGATAATTGACGAGCTGATCCTGATAAACGCCACCACCCATCGAGGCAGAATTACCGTCCTCTGAAACCTCAATGTCATCTAGAGCGCGGACGTAAATCTGAATGCCGTTGTAGACCGTCGCCAATCCAGCCGCACCACCGTGACCTTTATTGACCGCAAGGAAAGGTACATTGTAGGTGTCCGCGAAACTGACCTATACTCTCCTGTCAGCTAGTTCAAACTCCTACAAGCCTGAGTCGGGCTTGAACATACCGTTGCCCCTACATCTTGAGCTGTCCCCGGTACAACAACGACGGAGAAGTTTGATTTCGTATTCGCAGCCCACCTTTCCGTGTCGTTTATGTAGCCGGAACTATTCGGAAAGTAAAGCGTAGCATTCTTGGACAAGCGGGGCCCGAGCTCTTGCTGATAAGTGGATACGCTCGGTGGCAGCCTAGTGAAGTTGTCGCTGCGAGTGTGCCCGATGAAAGACGGAATCGCAGCGATGAGAGGAACGAGGTTGAGCAGGGTCACTATGACTTGCAGAGAGGTATGCATCTTATGCTGGTCGAGAGATCTGGGATGAAGTTCTGCCGCAGAGTGAGGGTAACTAACGTTTAAATAGTAAAGAATGGATCTTACTTCCTTGAAGGAATGAATACTTGATGGATTGGTGTCTCGGCATTTCGCTTTTCTTGCATACAGTAAGATGATATCATGCGCCCTCTCCGTGCTAAGACTGCTGACCCGGACCTGCATACGATAAGATGAAAACATGCGCCCTCCACGTGCTGAAGGCTGACGACTGAGCCGGACCTGCATATACTAAGATGAATCTATGCACGCTCCACCTGCTGAAGGCTGACTCTGACTCGGACCTGCATACGTACCTAGATGCGTACCATGAAAACATGCACCCTCCTCGTGCTGACTGCTGACCCGAACATCGCCGGTGGGGGTTTCAGACCACGGATGCAAGATCTGGCAGCCTTTTTGGATTTTGGGATTTGCTACCGTCAGCCCGGATCTTACATAAATGAGTCCGCCATCCTCGTTGCAATCAGTACGGGTCCAGGGTCTGCGCAGATCACTGCACCATCCTTAGAGCCCAAAGTATGGTGTTCAGCCTTGTTGGCTTGTCTTTCGGACTTCGGAGCTCAGTATGCCACTTGAGTGCGTTACTTAGATTACGGCTGGCAGGGGATCGATACGGGTAGGGCAATGGTGAGGCAGCGATCTCTTCACAAGCGATGGGTGGGCAGATCACTACCCGTTGTTGCTGCATGTGGAAGGTCCGTGGGAGTTGCAACGTCGTTCGATAGCTAGAATGAGTTAGCGCGCCAATAGTAATGACACTGCCGCTGCGCGAGGGGCGGGAATTAACGATGCAGGTCGCGTGTGACAGTAATTACCGCTAGCACTAATTACTGCGTAAATACCTGTCATACAACAGAGTTTTCGCTTAATTAATCCGCACCCGCGTAGAATTTCTATAGTCAACGTATTCAAATCCACATTACAACGTCAAAACTTATTCGATTATAATAAAATTTATAAAACTATTTTTTAAGATCTTATTTATAAGTTCTATCTCTTTAGATTCTTAGAAATTTACGTTAACGTTATTTAAAATTTCGATCTTTTTAAAAAAGTATTTATTAATAATTATATTATATAATATAAATTATATAAAAATTATAATATAAAAATTATTAAGACTCTTTTAGAGATTAATTATATATAATAAGTTTTATATATAAAAGTTTTAAAACTAACGAATGTATATAAGTTATATAATAAGAAGTTTTAATAATTACGCGTTTAAAGACGCGAATTTTCGCGGTTTTTACGAGGAAATCTTAAAATTCTAGACTTCGTCTTAGAGATTATAGTATTTTATAATATCTATACATTAATAATAAAATTTAAAAAGTGTAAAAGAATTACTAAATATCAATTTAATCGTAATTTAAGTTTAAAATTAGTCGATCCTATAATAATTATATAAAGAGTTGATAAAAAAAGAAGAAACTGGGTGAGTGTAACGGGGAATATTCGGGGTGCGGATTAATTAAACGAAAAGTCTGTTGTAGAGCTCCCCTGACAGTCATAGATTAGTAAGCTGGCCGATACATACGTATATGTCTTATCAACCACAAAGAACTAAAATTGAAGTTGTGGGATATGGGTTGAAATTCGTAATATCGTCGGTTAGGTAGATTCTAATTCATATTTGAAGACATGAATCCTTACCAGTCAATTTCCGTATTACACATTCTTACCCCTCCGCCATAACTTGGGGTATGAAGTGGTAGTTTGCCATCCACTGAGGTATAAATTGGTAAGAATTGATATCTTGCGTTTGGATTTAATTTCTAGCTAGGTCCCTGTGTAGATTAGTATTGTATAAGCCATGTTAGCTAGCAGAGTGCTGAGAGGCTGAGAGGCCAAAGTCTCATTTATAATCACATATATATCCGTAACGGCGGATCCAGACGGATTCTGGGAGCTACCATCCCATCTCGTTTTGGGTCAGAGATTCTGACGAGATAAGGCGGAAGTGGAAATTTGCCGTTTGTCAATTGCACAAATGTCAAGGTTCAAGGTATCTCGTGTCCTGGCAAGAATCAGCCTTGTCTGGCTAGAAGTTAGCTATAGTACCTTACCCGATGACGAGAGATAAATTTTCAGAGCACTCTCTAGAAGAAACGGTCTGGACTATAGACTACTATTATGAATATAAGAAACCTTTAGCACCCATTATAAAATAGAAATGCACTTCATGCACTATATATCATACAGACATGGATAAAAAACATCGAGAGGGCGTCAGTCCGCGTAATTACAATAGCGGGATCGACAGTGTGGGCACAAGCTCACAAAGACATCAACACAATGTGAACACGGATAGAACGGGAAGTCAAGCTCAAGGCATCGGCTTCCCCGAGCGACTTTATGAGAATAACTGAATGTAAGCTGTACTATCGAGTGACAATTAGCAATCATAGTGATCGAGGGAGGAATCTGACGAGATTAGATTATCGCATGTCCTAGTGCACTGGGTTCTCGTCGCAAAGCCATAACTTACGATGAAACTCTACAGTTGAAATACCAGGTCGAAAAATTTCTCAACCTGCTTACGAATAATCGTGCCATGCACGATGAACAGTTGCGCCACCGAATATTCCTTTGTAACTTCGCTTGTTGTTGAGTTGTGATGATATTTCAAGGAAGGATTTCGGCGGCGCAACCTTTTGCCCAACCCAGAAACCCGGCAGATTCCCCTTGGCGATGTGGGATTACCGATCGTAGGCCTCGATGACAGTGTTTACCGTCAGCATGACAGATCTGAAATTTTTGCCACAGCTTGATGGGCCTCAGAATCAGGTCTCTGATTGGTCACAGATCCGACGACGCAGGCGAAAGCCGCCAAGTCCTTCGGAAAGTAGGGGGGGGGGAATTTTCCGTTGAGTGATGTGGGTGGGTTGGGGTGTTGTGCGTGTGTTTCCTATGCGGAGGGGGCGGACCTCTAACCCTATATCCTAGAGCGGGACCGTCCGGATAGCACACCTAGAGGGCATGTTCCAGGGAGGGGTGAGATTTACTTCTTCACGAGGTGCTGAGCCTTATAATCCCACTCGGCATTTGCGCCATGTCCGCTTTCCATGCCCTGGGCAGGGTCGGGGTCGGGGTCAGGGCCGGGGTGGGATCTCGAAGGAAGGCGGTTGGGTTCGGAACCTCGGAGCGGATCAAAGACCCTCGTATGAGATCCCACCCCAAGTCGGACTTTCGGGGTACACCCGTCAATCCGTTGACCCCTGATTGAACCCCATCAAATAGAATAATTGTTAGGTATCGGACTCAGCGTAGAGCGAGCTCCCTCTGTAATACAATGCGATAGCTTGAAAATATATATGCTAGGCTAAACCCCCCTCTGTTATGACGGCCAACCGGGTTGACGGCTTGTACCCCGAACCGCCGCCACGGAAAGCCACGTTGGGCACTCTAGCCGAAACCACGGGTCTGCTGCCTAGCGTCCCACATGGAAGCACGAGCTCAGCTACGGATAGATATCAAGCCACAACCAGGTACAGTAATTTGCTGGCCTGGCCATTTCGGTTCAATAACATGTGCCAAGTGTGTTACACCATTCGTATCTCACCCTTCGAGAACGTTTTCGGACTATGCTGAAGAAGACTGGTGAAAAGAAGGAACCCTCGATGCATCTGGAACGGTCTGTCTCGGAGCATGGTGCAGGATTTTCCAGAAGGCTGTGTCTGGTTTGCCTCTAGATATGACGTCAAGTCAGTCTGAGTCAGAATGGTGACCAAGGTGGTTTGAAAGGAATCTTTTGCTTACCCTGACCGTAAGCTCATTACTATTACTGTTGCTGTTCTTGCTGTTAGCCAAGAGAGGAATATGCCGGACGAATGTTCGGACTTTCGGTCCATTGCTCTGGTGCGGATTAATAGTCTAGAAATGGGGGCGAACCATCGAGGACCTTGAGTTCGTATGACAGTCCGTACTTTGAGCATGTGTAATGGTAAGCGGTCCACAACAATCACGTTTCGCGACTAAAGGACAGAGGACAGTCTGTTATGCCTAACTACTCTCTACAAGTCTACAAGACCATCTCCACTAAGCATTAGCGTCCACGCCCTATAACAATCCACGACCTCACTGCTCTCATCTAGACCAACCTCACGATCACTTCTTACCACCAAGCACGACCCCCCGATCTCCGGGTTCAAGAAACGAAGACCAATTATGCACATCCCTCGCCACAGCCGCCGGCTAGCCTTTGCTGTCAGCTTTGACGTTCAGGTCGGCGCCCCAGTCAATGAGGAGGCTGACAGCTGCAGCTGCATCATTGGTGGCTCCTGGGTGGAGTGGTTTGGATCCAGCTGCTTGGGGCGGGTTCAAACATCTTTCCTTCCAAAACCGCTGCAGTAGGGGTAATCCAGAGATCACTTTCGAAAGGAAGCGTTTGACTTCTAGTCTACCGCAAGAGCTAGGCCGGACTGACATGCTCTAGCGATAAGTGTCTGATTCCGCCTGTTGGTTTTGGTTGACGAAGGAAGTACCCTCCGTGTCGACAACGGTGCTCGAGTATCTCAAGAGCATTCTCTGGCCCTCGAGACTTGAATCCAGGCCCATGAGTTCGCCTAGCTCGGGTTTCTTGAACCAGTCTTGACTTTCTCTGCACATCTGCAACACCTCGTACGAGATGTCACTGGGCCACTGAGCAGGTCGACTCAGTTTCGTCCCAAAACCGAGCTAATGTTGTTTGGATATCCTGTGTCTCGGCATTGTTTGCGTCGTACTCAGGATCATTCTCTCTCTCTTAAGTCTCTGGAAAGAAAATCTCCGATGAGCGATCGCCACCTAGGCCTGGGAGCTAGTTTCTCATTAATGTGTTTGCGATTCGATTCCACATCAAACTTGACTCTGGAATCTGAACAAAAGATGCAGGGCCCTGCCGCGAATTTCAGATATCGAACCCGCTCTTCGAAGTGGTCAGGTTCTATGGGATCAGCGAAAGAATTCTCTAGGTCGTCGTTCGAATGCTGAAATCGACGTTCCTCGACCGCCTCTTTGACGATTGCGTCTCGGCTAGAGATTTTATAGTCTCCGTCGAGGACATCAGCGAATAATAGTGCATCTCCTCGCACTCGAGCCCTACTCGGCTAAGTAGACAGTTGAAGGTTGCTTACTGGAAAGCTATCCTTATACCAGACAGTTTACTTAGCAAATCTTTGGCTGATCGTTGCTGTTCTGGAGAACGTTGTAGAGTATGAAGCACGCTCGGATGGCGCTCGATTCAAGAGCCACGTATCCATAGGCAATACCGTCTATGTGGTAGATGGCTCCGACACATAGGTTGAGCATGCCGTTGGGTTTAGCAATCAATGGATCCATAAAGGCCTCTTTGGTAGCAACACCGTCGGCCTCTGCACCAGGAAAAAATATCTGTACTACATCTCGATCACTAAAATCAATTATCGTCAACAGGAGCAAGCCTAGTCCAGATGTATCAAGTTCATTTGATGGGCAATATCTTTCGGGCAGCCTTTTAGGGTGGTTGTTCGGATCGGCCTCGCTGATGAAGCCTTTTCGATTTGTTGGTAGATGCAGCAGTCTGTGTGAGTCACGTCTCTGAACATGAAGAAAATGAAAGAGCTGACCTTTACACGGTAGTGTCACACCAGACAGTAGGCACAGGTCTTATCAAAAAGTGTCCTTCAAGAGCACCACAGTGGCAAAATGTAAAAGCGCTGGGGGGCGACAATGGCTCTCTGGCATTTGGGTCGTCCAATGAATTGTTTTAGCGAAGGGGGACTCATGCAGTGCGGTGAACATACTCTTAATTGGAAAGTGTGGCATTTTCTCGAGAATCTAGTAAGCGCAGACTGCATGAATTCCAATACCGCTTTAGGGCCCGACTTCGTGGCCCTGACCCAGCTGTTCCACCCTATCTTTGGCGACAGCGACGGAGGTTTCCGTAGCGTAGGAAGCTCCGAGACCGTATTATGGTACCTCTTTGACTTGTCTGATAGAAGGTGGCGGTCGAAATGATGACAGTGTTTAATTGAATTCTCGCCACAGCTTGACTGGGGGCTAGTGAGGGAGAGGCACAGCACACACTTATGGCAGGATAGCCGAGATTGCCATGTTGGAAGAGACTTTGCTCCTCATTCTTGTCCCTCTCGTCGCAAGAAGAGGTTTTTTGGACTTTTCTCTTTCCTGACATCAGACGAAAGCAATTTTTCATTTGGAAAACACATTATCCTTCTACTTACACCATTGCTATTCAGCCACTACCAATGGCCCCCAAGCGTCCTCGCAAGCCTACCGCAAAGGCCATAGCTGCACGTCAGGCTGCCGCCACCAGACCACCACCTCCACAAGAACCGCCCACTGAACCGGTGGGAGGGCCCTCTGATGGACCCTTACCCCCCCCTATTCTCGCTATACCTCCTATTCACCAGCCAGATCCTCCAGTAGGACCACCCACCCCATCAGACCCGGTCCTTAATCCCTACACCGTTCAGTTGTAATTCGCCCGTCAGGAACTCGAACGGGAACAGGCCGATGAAAACAACATGCTTTAGGACCGTGACGAACTCGCCCGCATACAAAGCGAGGTCAATGAGATCCGTACCCGTCGCCAGTCGGCTGCCCCTACCATACACCAGCCCGTACCCCAAGCCCCCATGCCATCGGCCCATGGTAGATTTGTTTGATGTATTTCAGGTCCACCGCTTTGAAACGAAGAAGAAGGGGAGCTATCATGGGGTCATTACCTTGGTGTAAGAAGGAGCGACGCGGCACTGCTTCCGTCTCAGACGGTGTTGGCGTTCTCTGCTGCGGCAGGGCCAAAGTTGGTTGTGGGGCCTGGAGAGGTATAGGTGACGGCTGGGGAGGTGGAGCGAATAGGAACGGCTGATGGGCCGGTGGCATGGGGGCTTGAGGTACGGGCTGGTGTATGGTAGGGGCAGTCGACTGGCGACGGGTACGGATCTCATTGACCTCGCTCTGTATGCGGGCGAGTTCGTCACGGATTTGAAGCATGTTGTTTTCATCGGCCTGTTCCCGTTCGAGTTTCTGACGGGCGAATTACAACTGAACGGTGTAGGGATTAAGGACCGGGTCTGACGGGGTGGGTGGTCCTACTGGAGGACCTGGCAGGTGAATAGATATATGTTTGCCGCTAAGCATGTTTAAGGTCGTAATCCCAATCGAGAGATTTTGAACCCTGTCAATTTTGAGCGTCGTGATTACTATTTTGTCCCATTTGAGCAAGGAGAATTTTGAGACCCGTTAAAGTAGTTTTGGACATCGTGATCACCTCGCATTGTCGAGAGACACTAGGCCCGATCGTGGAATCACAGACTTCCAGGGTCCGCCCTTGATCACGCTAGTGACCCTCCCGCTGCTGAGAGGGCGGACATTAAAGTACCCCTACTTTTACGAAGCTGATTCATGCAAGGCACGACTATCATGGCTTCAATGCTCCCAGAGGACCTATCATTGACCCTGCTGGACCAAGCTCCATGCAGAGCGCTCCAAATCCGCCAAATCCTTGCCCTCCTATCCGTTCGTCTCCCCATCCGTCTTCTTAACGCCCCGCTAACCCCCCTCAGCCCAACTTGCCCAGTCCCTCCACCATCCTCCTCCACGGCGTCGAAGCAACAGGGAAGAGCCTAACCATCAAGGCCGTCTTGGAGGCCATTGATACCCCCTCCGCCATCGTCCGATCGCAAGAATGCATCACAACCCGACATCTACTCGAACGGACAATTGCCGTGGTAAAAGAGGCATTGGCCGCGCATGGACACCTCGAGGAAGCCCATGGCCTTGATGGAAGATGTGAGAACATCAGCGCTTTCAGGGTAGAGCTCCAGCATCTACTAGAAGGAAAAGAGAAATTCATACTCGTCTTCAACGGCATCGACCGTCAGTGCGAGGCAGCGCCAACCTTGCTCCCAGCTATTGCACGGCTCGGAGAAATAGTATGACCACACTGACGCACACACTCAACTCTTCCCTGCTCACAACCCCTAGTTACCCAACCTGACCGCCATCCTTATCACCACAACCTCACACCCGCACCTCCTCCACCACGCCTGCATTCCACACATCCACTTCCCACCGTACACACGCACTGAAACGCTGTCCATACTCTCCCGCACCCCGCTCTTGCTCCATGCCAGCTCAGCCTCGTCTCAGTCGCTTAATACTACAACAGCCGCAAACGACGACGACACGGAATGGCTCTGGACGCGTTTCATAGCCGCGGTTTGGGACTCCCTCGGACAAACCGCTGCAAGATCTATTCCAGACTTCCGCGACGTATGCGCGCGACTTTGGCCGCCGTTCATACAGCCAATTGTAGACGGCCACTACGGAGCGCGAGAATTCTCGAAACTACTAGTGAAGAATAGGAGTTTGTTCCAGAGCGAAGATGCTCTCATCGATACCATAGTGCCCACTACTCCTTCCTCAACCATCAGCAAGCCAAAGAAACGTTTGTTGACGCCTTGTACCCCACGATTGCACTACTGACTTCACAACAGAGTTCTCATACACCCTCCCCTACTACCCAACCCACCTCCTGATCTCCGCCTACCTCGCCTCACACAACCCCCCAAAACACGACATTACCCTCTTCTCCAAAACATCCCTCTCCAAACGGCGCAAGCGCGGCGGCGGCACAGCACTCACATCTAACCGAGCTTCGAAACACCGGAAAGTTTCTCGAAGACTATTAGGACCACACCCATTTCCTCTGGAAAGGTTGTGCGCTATATTCCAGGCTATACTGCCCCATACGTATACGGGTGGAGGGGCGGACATGATGTGCCAAGTTGCTACACTTGTGGGGCTGCGATTGATTGTGAAAGCGGGTATGGGAGGGGATGTTCTGGAGGGAGGGGGAAAATGGAGGGTTAACGTGGGGTGGGGATTCGTGAGGGGAGTGGCGAGGGGTGTAAACTTCGATGTGGAGAGTTACCTTACCGAGTAGGTACGAGAACTTAAGCTCGGTCGATGAGGGCATACTGTCTCACCTGTGCTGATCATGATTGGTTGAGTATCACACACAGCAGCATTTGCGTAGATGCTGTTCAAAGTCGAGAAGCATGGAGAGCAAGGGTTCTGCAACTTCCAGATTCATCTCTTCATCTCACCATCGCCTGCCTGCCTCCCAGTGCTGGCTTCCCGCTGCGGTCCCCCCGCCAATCGGGGTTCCAACGTTCCGAATTTCGAGACTGCAAACCAAAAGCCTTGACGACTGCAGCCCAAGGGAAGATCTCGACACCTTGCTAGCTACCCAAAATGTCGTTAAGATATCCTACTCTACGAGAACGCCACCAAGGCAGAAAAAAGGGCACCGACCCTAATCTCGTGACAAAGTCCAAGACGAGGTCCAATAAGAAAGCCAGAACAGTGCTTCTGTACAATGGCCTGAGTGAAGAATAGGCTTGCCGGATGGGCCTACATATCCCCTAAGCTGTGCTGTGGGTGTGTGTGCCAAATGTCATTCACGGTCTCTAGCTACCAGAAGCGCAAAGGCGGCGGTCGCGATACCGACATGAGAGGCCAAGATCGGTCGGTTGCCGAAGCACGAAATGAAATGGACGGAGGATGGGCAGGGGGGTGGATGGATGGAAGAAGAGACAGGCTAGACGTGCAAATCTTACCGAGGTGAGACAGGTACGGCACGGAAGCGTGGGAGAGTCCGGCCAAGAGGCGGAGAAAGAGATATTACGGTAGGTCAAGGTCGGCGAAGGTGGTGTCTTCCAAGGCTCCATCACGGTTGTTCGCCTCCATTTTCTGGACCATGGATCCAGACGTGTTCGACGGACCATTAATCCAAACCAGTCCGAGGAATTTGTAAACGGTTGTAGAGCGGTTCGAAGGACGGAGGCGGCCAAACATCTGACCATGACGGGCGCCCAATGGGGCTGGTCGAAAATGAACGCGAATCGGTCGTTCGGAATAGCTTCGAATTGGACCAGTTCGCGCCTGTCGACCACTAGGAGCCTTGAATGTCTTCCCGTCGGAATGATTCTCCGGTAAGAATGAGAGAGCGGACTGATTCGATTTCCTACTGCGGGGGGAAAAATAGAAAGAGAAAACGTCCTGGCGAGGACGAGTCTGCGGATATTGCTCCATAGACAGTCTACGGGGAACTTTTCAACCGTGAGCTCTACACGGCGCCAACAGCTCCGGCATTGACCAGTTGATCCAGCGTGCCAGTCCGCCAGGCACTCGAGATCGCCGAGTCTGCTAAAAAAAAAAGTGTATCTTTGCAGCCTTCCCTCAAGACTAGGGAGAACATGGATCTTCAAGTAGATAAGAACAAGCCACGAAGTTCTGCACAAGGTCTAACTTTGTTCCGCTCTCGTTTTCCTAGGTATACCCGTGTCTGAGGTTTTCGTCCTGGTGAAGTATATCGGGACCATTGCAGGTCTCATTGGGTCATAAATCGCAAATTCTATCTATCATGAAACAGCGTCTAAGCGTATCAATCTCACTGCCACAAGTAGCGCACCATGAACAGCCCATCGTCTGCATCCGTGTTCCTATCCACAAATTTCAGTTCGTTTGCTATATATTCCAATCATAAAAACTCTCGAGGCTTATGACTCTGCGGTGTGGAAATGGCATGCCATATTACCCCGGCCCGATCATCATTCCTTGTCGATGCTTTCATGTGTACCAGACCACACGTTCGGTTCGACGCATGGGGAGCGCGTTACTTATTGTATCTGATGGACAGCATCGACCATGACTATTGATTCCCGGAAATACCTTCGTCTGTTGGGTGTTTACTCATCCGACCACGATCGAAGCAAGACAACGAATCGATAGAAGTGGGAAATCGGACTGTCCAGTCTAGGATGCGGGGACGGTATGCCTTTCGACGGAATGGACGGGATGGCACCCACATTGTTGACAATCTTTGAACTTCCTTTGTAGCAGTCGCCTCCAAGCATTATGATATCCCCCCTCACCTGCTTAGGGACCTACGCTCTTCTCATCACCTCCAGATCCAGCAGACATGACAGCACGCAGTTCCCCTAGATTCGCTTCGCCGTCCATATCAACCAGATGTTGGCGAAGCGTGTGTCCTCGTCGAGAATTTAGTGAGCAAGAGGAATGTCAGACGTAGAGTATTTTATGGGGTGACAACGCCCGTGGGCCGGATTAGCTGTTCCGCGAGATCTGAGTGTGCCCCTGGGACAACGTCGCGTCTCCTTTTCTGTATGCTGACCCTGTGCAAATGCCACATTGCACGTGTCCAACACCGTGCTTTGAGACACATCGTCCAGAGCCGCCAACAAGAGCAGACCAGGACTGACTCCCTTGTGCCCTCCGACCATAACCCGAAACCCCGTTCACCACCGCAATTCCCCCTACGGCCGTACGAGTAGCCGAATTTTATCCTCAGAGCTTCAACATTGCCAGACACGGCTTCAACAACAAACAAGCAGCTCCGCCTCGTGAGCTCGGACAAGATTATCCGTCCCTCACTGCCCCCTTGCCAACAAAAAGGTGTTGAATTGAAGCAAACACCACATCACATCCTCAACACAGCAGCCGCACGCACACAGCCACTAATCGCCCACCCCCAGATGAAATCACACTCACGAGCCTACACACCAGCCCAACCCCTCCACCCCTCCACCTCCCACCTCCCGCCCTCCAAAAACACCGTCCAACCGCTCCCGAGAAAACCCCTCCCAGCGCCATCCACCCCGGTGTCAAAAAACAGCATGGAGCGTCGGCCTTTTCCGTATCCAAACCAGACTCTAGAACCCAGGTACGTGGGTACCAATACACCACTCGAGTGAAGAAACCGGACAGACAGACAGACAGACAGACAGACAGACAGACAGACAGCCGGCTTGGTTCCCGCATGCCGGCCTACCGGCCAGCGCGAGTTGGAAACAGCATACGAGAGGCTGCCCAGGGGGTCGGCGCCGATCCAGGATCCCTATCCGGCCATTTCTCCAACCCAACCGAACCCAACCGAACCCAACCCAACCCAACCGACCAACCACGATAAAATCCAGCAACGAGTGGCCAAAACAACGCCCCGCCTCTCGTCGTGGCGTCCACCCATCCATCCGATCCCAAAACGGACGGAGTTATGTTATGTTAAGTTCATAAAAACCTACCCCTACCCCTACCCCTACCCCTACCTACCCCTCCCCCTCCCCCTACCTACCCCTCCCCCCCCCCTACCTACCCCTACCTACACCTACCTACCCTTACCCCTACCCCTACTTCCCCCTACCCCTACCCATACCCCTACCCATACCCCTACCTACCCCTACCCCTACCCCTACCTATCCCTACCCCTACCTACCCCTACCCCTACCCCTACCCCTACCTACCCCTACCTACCCCTACCACCCCCCCCCCTACCCCTACCCCTACCCCTACCCCTACCTACCCCTACCTACCCCTACACCACCTCACCTCCGTAACCCCTACCCCTACCTACCCCTACCCCTACCCCTACCCCTACCCCTACCCCTACCCCATCACTTAGAGGAACAACTATTTTAATTAAATTTAATTTTTGAAATTTATATAATTACGAACGCGTTTATTCTCTTAAATACTATAATAAGTTATATTAGAGTCTCTAAGCTTTTATTTAAGATTTTTTTAAACCTATTATAATATTTAAAGTCTTATTACTACTAGAAAATCGAGTTTTAAATAAAAATTATTTAAAATATTTTAAAGATTATACTATCTATCTATTTAATAAAATATATTATTTAATTTAAAATAATATTAAAGTAAAAGTTATTAAAATATTTAAATAATTAGAGAAATTTTAAATCTTCTATAAAGCGTTTTATTAGAGATTTCTAGAAATATTTTTATAAGAGAATTTAAACGCGAATAGACGCGAAGTTTAATAATAATAATAATAATATATAAATTAGCTACTTAGATTTAAATCTAAATTAAAAAATATAAAGAAGAGAATAATAAATTTCTTATTATAACTTTTAAACTATATCGCTATTTTTATTATAAATATATTATTAGAATATAAAATAATTATAAAATTTATAAATAAGGTTATTAAGGCTAGATATTATAAAAATAATTTAAATTAAAAAATTATAAATAATATTAATATCGTAATTTATAATAATTTTAAAATTATAAAATCTTTAAAATTCTTAGATTATAATTTTAAAGAAAATAGTTTATAAACTTCTATTTATTTAATATATTAGCTTTTAAATAATAATTTTTAACTTAAAATCTTTTATATTAAAGATATATTTTTTCTTATAAAGAGATTATTATAATTATTATCTTTTAATATTATAATTTTAATTATATCTAATATCTTTACGATAGTAATATATACAATTAAAGTAAAAATAATAAATCTATTAAGTAATAAAGTTTAAGATATTATAAAGAGTAAACTTAATTAATTTAACTCTATACTATTAAATATTATTAGTATATATAAAAGAATAAGATAGAGCTAAACTTGAAAACCTTGAATTTGTATATGCAGTTAATTATAAATTCAGGGTCACTACGCTCTTTAATTAGACCGGCTAAGTCATCGCGGGTAAATAAATTAGCGTCCGCAACCATCAAACGTCCGCAACCATCAAAAAAATAGATATCCGTTGTTAACATATAGAATAACTTTTTTATTTTCTATTAAAATTTTGAGATTTTTTTTTAAAATTATAGAACGAAATGTGGGCTTTCAGATAAAAAAAGAATTATCGAATTTAGTCTTATAACTATTAAAGCGCAAGGAATTCAAATATCGCTTACCAAAGTTCGCTCACCAAAGATCGCTCGACAGCCGGACAGCCCTAATAAAAAAATAGGTATATATTATTTAATTTTAGAATAACTTTTTTATTTTCTATTAAAATTTGAGATTGTTTTTTTAAATTATAGAACGAAATATAGGCTTTTAGATAAAAAAAGAATTTTTAAATTTAGTCTTATAACTATTAAAGC